CGGTGGCTGGTGGAGCCAGGGGGATCCTGGAGGGGCCACCTGAAGGCCAGGACACGGAGCTGGTGGAGTCGGCAGTGGGCCTGGTCCATAGCCACAAGGAAGCTGGATGGAAAACCCAGGGCTGCTGCAGTCCTGAAACGCAGCTTCTCATGCCTACGCTTGCATGTCAAGTGCGTTGGGTTGGATCCATACAAAACAGTTTTGTTATAATTGTTCCTGCTTTGTTATAGCATAGAATAATAGGGCTGGAAGAGACCCCAAGGAGGTCACTGAGTCCAACCCCCTGCCCAAAGCTGGACCAATCCCAACTAAATCATCCCAGCCAAGGCCTTCTCAAGTCGGGACTTAAAAACCTCTAGGGATGGAGATTCCATCACCTCCCTAGGTAACCCATCCCAGTGCTTCACCACCTTCCGAGGGAAATAGTGTTTCCTAATATGCAACGTAGACCTCCCCCACTCCAATTTGAGACCCTTGCTCCTCGTTCTGTCACCGAGAACAGCCTGTCTCCATCCTCTTTAGAACTCCACTTCAGATAGTTGAAGCCCCCTTGTCTTCTGAAGACTAAATAAGCCCAAGTCTCTCGGCCTCTCCTCATAAGTCATGTGCCAGCTCCCTAATTATTTGTGTTGCCTTCCACTGGACTTTTTCCAGTGCATCCACATCCTTTCTGTAAGGATGGATCCAGCACTCCAGTGCCTCACCAGGCCTCACCAGTACCAAATAAAGGGGAATAATCAATTCTCTAGATCTGCTGGAAATGCTCCTCCTAATGCACCCTAATATGCCATTAGCTTTCTTGGCTACAAGGGCACACTGTCGACTCATATCTAGCTTCTCACCCACTGTAATCCCCAGGTCCTTTTCTGCCAAACTGCTACTTAGCCAGTCGGTCCCAGCGGGTAACAATGCTTGGGATTCTTCTGTCCCTAGTGCAAGCGCTTGTCCTTGTTGAACCCCATCAGATTTCTTTTGGCCTAATCCTCCGATTTGTCTAGGTCACTCTGGACCCTATGCCTACCCTCCGGTGTATCTACCTCTGCCCCTAGCTTAGTGTCATCCGCGAACTTGCTGAGGGTACAGTTTACCCTCTCATCCAGGTCATTAAAAAAGATTTAGAACAAAACTGGCCCCAGAAGTTACCCTAGAGATACTCTGCTTGATACCAACTGCCAACCAGACACCAAGCTGTTGATCACTACCCGTTGAGCCCGATGTTTGCATTCGCCTTACAGTCTATTTATCCAATCCAGACTTCTTTAATTTGTTAAAGCTTTGCTCAAGTCAAGGTATATCATGTCCACCACCTTCTCTATATTCATACCTCGTCATAGAAGTCAATCAGGTTGGTCAGACATGACTTGCTCTTGGTGAATCTATGTTGACTATTCCTGATCACTTTCCTCTCTTTCAAGTCCTTCAAAATGGATTCCTTGAGGATCCCTGCCATGGTTTTTTCAGGCACTGAGGTGAGGCTAACTGGTCTGTAGTTCCCCAGATTTTCCTTCTTCCCTTTTTTGAATACGGGCACTACATTTGCCTTTTTCCAGTCATCTTGGATCACCACGAGTTTTCAGAATTTATGGCCAATGGCTCTGCAGTCACATCAGTCAACTCCCTTAGCACCCTTGGATGCATTAGACCTAGTCCCATGGATTTGGGTATGTTCAGCTTTTCTAAATAGTTTAGTTCAGGAGTCTCAAAATTCTGACCCATGAGCCATCTGTGGTCCAAAGCACATGACCTGGTGGCCCAATGGGGGCATGTCCGAAACCATCCCCCCAAATCCGATCTTCTCCTCGATAGCACTCCATTCCCTGAGGGATCCATCCTTGAGGATTACTGGTAGGAATATCAAAAAACAGGACTATGTATCACTTTAAAGACTAACAAGATGGTTTATTAGGTGATGAGCTTTCGTGGGCCAGACCCACTTCCTCGAATCAAATAGTGGAAGAAAATTGTCACAACCATATATACTAAAGGATACAATTTAAAAAAATGAACACATATGAAAAGGACAAATCAAATTTTAGAACAGAAGTGGGATGGGGGGGGAAGGTAAATGTCTGTGAGCTAACATTTAAATGTCTGTGAGCAGACCTTTACCTCCCCCCCCCCATCCCCCTTACGTTCTGAAATTTGATTTGTCCTTTTCATATGTGTTCATTTTTTAAAATTGTATCCTTTGGTATATATGGTTGTGACTATTTTCTTCCACTACTTGATCTGAGGAAGTGGGTCTAGCCCACGAAAGCTCATCATCTAATAAACCATCTTGTTAGTGTTTAAACTGCTACATAGTCCTGTTTTTTGTTTCACCTACACCAGACTAACCTGGCTACGTTTCTATCACTATTCTGGTAGGAATATGAATGGGTAAATGGTTACCTGGCAAGCTTCACCCTTACTGGTTACTAGTTAACTGGTACCCAGGAGCAATCACCGAACCATGGCCCGCTGCAGGCGGAGGACTGCTGCAGGCTCATGGGGACCAGGAGCAGAAGCTGGCTGCTCTGTGCACAGGGGGGCTGGGAATAGAAGCTGACCCACCAGCGCTAGAGTCTCCTTGCTTGTGCTGCAGGTCCCAGGTAGCCCCAAGTACAGAGGAGCCCCCCAAAGCATGGAGGGGCTAGCAGCTGGTAGCCCCAAACATAGAGGGGTGGGGGAGGGCTGGGACCAGGATCCTGCTTAATCCATTAACTGGTTAACCCTAAGATTTAACCAGTTAACTGATTAACCAGGATTTTACATCCCTAATTACTGGGAGACCGGTGCAGGGCAGCAGCAGGAGTCAAGCCCCCCTCGCTCCCAGCTGCAGCAGTGTTCTCTTTTTTCCTTGTGGCTCCCTTGGGAGATAGGGTGCTAGGGGAGGGATGAGTGAGGCAGTGGCAGGAAGGGACAGGGCTTGGGGAACAGGTTTGGATGCCCCCATGCCAGATTGCAAATCTGCTTCAGGCTGTAGATGGCCCATGGGCTGGGAGTTTGACACCCCTGATGTAGGTGGAGATCAGTATTCAAATATTTGTGGAAAGATGTATTTACCTTGGAAATTAAGATGTATTACATGGAGCTGAGGCTTTGTAAAAACTAGAGGAGCAAAATTTTAGGAAGTTTGTGAAGGCATATTAGAAATTAATACACAAAAATTAGAAACCCATTTTGTGTTCCGTATACATTTGATCTGTGTAGCCTCAAACACTGTATTTTGTAATACAGTAAAACTCCAGTAGTCCAGCATCCAATTACATGGCACTCCCCATAGTCTGGCATCAAAATGGCAAGAGCCTAGTGAGTGAGCTTCGGCAAAAAACGAGTCACAAGGCAGCAGTGGCAGCAGCT